CAGGAGACTGGGAGTTCTAGTCCCGCCTTAGGCATGAAAGCCAGCTGGGAGACTTTGGGACAATCACCAGGAGACTGGGAATTCTAGTCCCGCCTTAGGCATGAAAGCCAGCTGGGAGACTTTGGGACAATCACCAGGAGACTGTGGAGTTCTAGTCCTGCCTAAGGCATGAAAGCCGGCTGGGTGATTGTGGCCCATCACTTAGGAATCTGAGAATTCTAGTTCCACCTTAGGCACGGACTTTGGGCTGGTCCCTCTCTCTCAGCCCAACTCGCTACTCAAGTTTGTTGTGGTGGGGAAAATAGGAGGTGGAAGATGTGTTGGATCTTCTCACCACCTTGAGTTAGTCATAAAGATTGATGAGCGCCGGGTCGGAATAAATAAATAAACCCCTGATTTGCAAAGGGGCAAATCTCCCTAAACTAGGAACGTGCAACCTTTGAGTGTTGTGTCTCTTTTTCTCTGTGTTGCTCGTTCTAAAACTGTGAGCGGTACACAAGCACAATTGCACTGCTGGTATTTAGGTTTCATTAAAATTCAGTACAACAGCTGCCCTTATTTTCCAGTCGTAACATTGAATTATTTTTCCCCTCTGGACACATTTGAAATGGCAATTGGGCCATTTGCTCGAGAGGCCTCCAGAGGCACCTTTAAGGCTTAGTGGTGCATGTGTGTGTGTGTGTGTGTGTGTGTGTGTGTGTGTGTGTGTGTGTAGACAGAATTGGGGATGGGGCATTCAGATTTTGAATTCTGGACAGAGAACAAAACTTTCTCGTTCCTTATTCTTGGGTTCCTTTCAGTTTGGGAACAAGCCACGTTCTTGTCCTCTCTTCTCCGGGATGATTCGAATTTAGAAAACGAGGATTTTGCTTCTCTCTGAGTTCTGGAGAGGCCTCGATTGGGAAAGAGAGCTCGTTTTTGGAGGCCATCAAATCAATGGATCGACGGCTCTCCTCCAAGTCTCTAACTTGGTTAGTTGTGGCTGTGTGTTGACCACGAGAGGGCAGAATTTTCAGAGGTTTGGGATGCAGAGAGAATAAGAATGGAGTGGAATGGAATAGGAATGGGAATGGGAATAGAATAGAATAGAATAGAATAGAATAGAATAGAATAGAATAGA